TGTCCCGTACACTGAAAGGTCATGGGTTTGATTCCGGTCAACATGCCTAGGTTGCAGGTGCAGTCCCAGGGTGAGACTGCTTTTAAATCATACAAACAAGATAATTATAATTACTCCATAAAAGAGTTTGGGTCCTGGCCAGTTTGGCTCAGTGGCTGGAGCAACGGCCTGCGGGCTGAAGGGTTCCAGGTTCAATTCCAGTCAAGAGCATGTACCTCGGTTGCAGGCTCTTCCCCAGCCTAAGACCTGGTCAGGGCACGTGCAGGAGGCAACCAGTCAATGTGTCTCTCTCACATCGGTGTTTCTCTCTGTGTGTCTCTCCCCCTCCCACTCTCTCTAAATATCAGTAGAAAAATATCCCCGGGTAAGGATTAAAAAAAAAAAGACAGTTTGGGCTAATTTTCCTGTATTCTTTCAGAAAGTTAATAAAGCATGTCAACTCCTGTTTTATCAATGTCATTTAATCTTACAACTTCCCATATGCCTTATCCTTACTCCCTCTAAGGCAGCTAATGGTTAATTAAGTAGGTAACCAATTTGTAGAAAACCAGTAGAAGGAACATGATGAAACACTAATTCTTCTTTCATAACATCAACTTGGAATGAATAATATAATTACTTGGACAGTGGTTCACCATTCATTATGTGTCCTGCGCCCAGTACAATGAGGCATTAATAAAGATTTGTTGAGTGAATGAGTATTAGGAATTTACTTCCTATATCATGGCGAAGCTCTGATACTGGATATCTGCATGCAACTCATTCTGTGGGACATGAAAATCGTTCTCTGGGATACTAGCAAAGAATGCCATCCAGCCTAGTCAATCATCTATCAAATGCACATCATTATTTTTTTAGGGGCCCAAAGAGCAAAATGGGCAAATCTATAAAAAGTATTTTCTTTTAGGGGGAAAAACCTTTCTGAAGTAGAAACAACATCATTCCAAAGTCTACTAGCCATGGAAATAATTGAAAAGATATGTCTGTTATGCACAAAGCACTATGGTAGAAATTGTAGGATACAAAGATGAGCAAAAATAATCTTTACCCTGAGGGGTTCACAATCTAGTCAGAAGGATAAGATAAATACATCCATAGCTATCATGCAAAGAAGTAAATAATTAAAAGCATAATCGGTATGTGCTGAGCCTATAGGAATTGAGCAGCAGATATAAGGGGAAATTCATATTTGCCTTTACTTCAATAACATGTTTTTAAGGTTTTATTTTAAAAAGACTGTTTTTGAGAAGTACATTTACTGCAGGAAGATTGTTTTTTCCCTTAACCTAGTGAGTCAGATAACAGAAGTATGAAGAAATAAAGAGCATGCTGGCAAAGTGGACAAAGCAGAACAAAATGTAAAGACCAGAATGAATTTTTATTTAAATCTATGCTTTCTTTGAAACTACTTGCAAGGCTGAAGAATTAATCATATTGAAATCAGTAAACATTGAAAATGATAATAATCTTAAGGTAATAATGTCTTTTAGGAGCAAGCAGAACTATCCCAACCTTTTTAGTTGTGGGCTTCCCTGTGCCATGGGAAACAGATAATCCTAGGAAAGGCAGATTAGAAAGGGGAAAGGTGGCAAAGAGAAAGGGTGCAAAAAGCCATTGTGTTTGGGGAGGCCATATCCTCCCAGAGGCAAGGAGGTAGCAAGATCAGCAAAGAGGGGCCTGACACCCTAAATGTTAGGAACTGGACATGGGACTAAGGGGCTTGGATATGTAGTGTCACATTATACTCACTCAATCAGATAATAATGTCTCAACTGAATTAAATTATGGTTCCATGACAAGCTATGGAGCCTGGGTTATGACTCATTTGCAATAAGATCTCTCCCCTGCCAGGGTGCATTTTATATATGGCCAGGTCAGAAAGAACAAGGGAGGAGTCACAGAAACAAAACTGGAGCTTAGAGACCTGCGCCTAAATCTGATTCTGGTTCAAAATTGCTCTGTCCCACATTCTACTAGTATCTTTCTGCTTCTCTTATTCTTCCCCTGACCCATCATATTCCAACTTCCTAAGCTACTGTTCACCAACTACACACACACACACACACACACACAAATGCACACGCAGACACACACACACACTAATATACTTAGCACTAATTATATGCCTGTACTGAGTGCTTTGATGTATAGTATCTTTAAAGGTCATAATGACTTTGTGAGGCAGACATTATCACTCCCATTTATTTATTTAGATAATTCACATATCACTGAATTGTGCAACCAACACTACTATCTAATTCCAGAACATTTTCATTCCCCCCAAAGAAATCCATATTCATTAGCAGTCACTTCTCATTTTTCTCTCCCCATCCCCTGGCAATCACTGGTCTACTCTCTCTCTTTATGAACTGGCCTATTCTGGGCATTTCATATAGATGGAATAATAAAATAAGTGGCATTCTGTACCACTCCCATTTTACATATGAAGAAACCAAGACTCAAATAGGTTAAGTAACTTGCCCCAGGCCACACAGTTAATAAGAGGCTGAACTAGAACAGGAACCCAAGTCTGATGCAAATGCTTGGGCTTGCTTCTGACCACTACATGCTGCTTCCATCCAGGAAGAAAACTGAAAGAGAAAATACAAGTTTTAGATGTACTTGGAGAAAGAGGGTTTTTTCACCTAAGGTAATATAAGTAGTGAGAACCACAATTACACCATCTCTGCTTATATTGAAATGCTGAGGCAGCTCCTCTACACAGACCATGGCAAACTACTAGAAATCACACCAACCCACCTCTTTCTGTTCCATCCCACAACCCCAACTTCTCCCCACCCCCAACCCCATGCAGATGGCAGTTCTATAAATCCAGGCTGGAAAGAATCTCCTCTCTCCTGACCTTCTGTCCCTTTCCCAGATGTCACTCTGCCACTTAAACTTCATTATCCACACCAATTTCTGTCTAAGGAGTTCAAGAAAAATGTCTTCTTAAATACGTGCACTAGTGTTTTTCCTCTTCTTTTTAATTCTGGCAACCAGTTTATACTAGTTGTGACAACAAGAGGGTGAAGAATGTAGGAGAAGTCAAGCTGTTGGCTAACCAAAGGCAAAGAGCTCTAGAAAGAATCATAACTCACATAAAACGCCTACAATGCCTCCGCTTTCTGCCATTTTTCTGCTTTACGCATTACGTGTGCATATGGTTGAGATCAGATTATACTTTTCTAGAGGACCAAGTTCAGGTCTTCCTTTTCATCTCTCATCCAACGTACACAAATAGGTACACGATAACATTGATTATTATATATATGTATTTTTTTTCTTTCTTAGGAGAAAAGTATAAAAGGGAAAATGATTTCCACTAATCCAAGGCCAATGTCTTTGACTCTTTATCTTTATCCCCTAAACCAGGCACTCAAAAGTTTATTGAATAATAGCAAGTACTTAGCAGTACCAGACACTGCTCTAAATACATATAACTCCCCACAACCCTGAGCGCTATTACCATAATAATCCCCATTTCCTGAGGAGGAAACTGGCCCAGCAGAGCTGTGATCTGCCCAAGATCATTCAGTCAATAGGAGTGGGAGTCAGGATTGAGGGAATGCAGGACACTGGAGCATTCCAATTAGACACGTTTGAGTCATCCTGGTTTCTAAAAACTGAGAGACTTATGATCCATTGCAATAGCTAGGAACTCCACCAGATCTAAAAACAAGAAAAGCAGTTTTCCCTGTGCTACTTTGTAATAGTCCATCTGCCTTTTTCAGAAGTGCTCAAAGCCTTTCTCTCATTACTTCTGAACCTTCTGACAGGAAAATTGACGGATAGGGGAGCTCTCCGTGTGGGTTAGCCTGGAGAACACACTCGTAAAGGCAGAGCTGCTGCCTCACGTGGGCCTTGGCCTGCTGATACGTGCTTTCTGGGTTCACTCCATCTTGAAGCCCTCCAGCAGACAGATCACAATGAGGGCGTGTCCCGTATTTATTTCTTCTACCCTCACCCCACCCACCCACCATCCCTCCACTCCCCCCACTTAGCACACATTTATACACCCAGATGTCCGACTTCTCCATCCATCATTGATCCAGCTACATGCCTGTCCATCCACCCACCCGTGCACACATCTTTGTGCCCACTTGCCCATCCATGGCTGCTTCCAACTCTCCCAGCAAGTGCTCTCCCGCACCAGTCCTGTGCCGGTCCTGTGCTAGGGTCACGGGGCATGCAGAGATTAAAATGAATTAAGTTTACAATGTTCAAGAAAATCTTGGTCTAAGTCTGTATTCACTCCAGGTCACCTTCCAGGTGACTATTTGTTGAGCTCCTCCTATCAGTCAGGTGTTTCAGGCACTGGGCACAGATAGACACTGTTACTCTACCCCCTCCCACTTTACAGACGAAGAAACTGAGGCTCAGAGGTTATAGTGCAGTGGTTCTCAACCTTCTTAATGCTGCGACCCTTTAATACAGTTCCTCATGTTGTGGTGACCCCCAACCATAAAATTATTTTTGTTGCTACTTCATAACTGTAATTTTGCTACTGTTATGAATCGTAATGTAAATATCTGATATGCAGGATGTATTTTCATTGTTACAAATTGAACATAATTAAAGCATAGTGATTAATCACAAAAACAATATGTAATTATAGATGTGTTTTCCGATGGTCTTAGGCGACCCCTGTGAAAGGGTCGTTCGACTCCCAAAGGGGTCGCGACCCACAGGTTGAGAACCGCTGTTCTAGAGATTCACAGGATGAAAAACTGAGTGTCCCGCCCTGACCAGTGTGGCTCAGTTGGTTGAGTGTCATCCGTGCACTGAAAAGTCGCTGGTTGGATTCCTGGTCAGGGCACATGCCCAAGTTGCGGGCTCAATCCTGGTCAGGGTGAGTGCTGGAGGCAGCCAATCGATGTTTCTCTTTCACATCAATGCCTGCCCCCCGCCTTTCTCTTTTTCTAGAAAAACTTTTTTTTTAATCAAGTGTCCCTTCTCTTAACATTCCAAGTCCCTACTAATTAGAAACCCACATTCACAAAAGAAAGTTGAGATGGTCTCTGAATGAACATGACCCTGCAAAGATAGCCTGTAGAAAGGAGAGAACAAGAGCTACTTGTCTCTTAAGGAGCGGTTCCTCCTTCCTAACACAATTACCTACACAGCTGGGGAAATGGCATCCCCAAAATATACATAGAAGGGCTACCTCACTAATTTCCCCTCCAAAGATAAAACTCCTCACGCTGACAGGAACCGAAGCATTTTATGGAACAAAATCAAATTGCTCCCAGTGCTGTCATCTGTACCCTCTCTTCGCTTTCATTTCGGGTGGACAGAGGGTGAAGAGAGTTAAAAAACGCTGAGATTGGTTCACCATGCAGTCACCTAGAAAAGCCAATGAGGCAACATGCAAAAGGTGCCTTTGTATTCATAAGTTGACTTTTCAAGGATAAAAACTAGAGCCAACCTAGGTACCTTGAAAACCTCCATCCCTCCGAGGTGTATCTACTCTCGTGGGGGTTTTTTTCAATAGTAATTCAAGAATAAATAGTTGTTATAAAACAGCAGCAATAGAGGGTCTTTTGTTTTGCGCTGTTTTACTAGATAAGCTCTAAGAAAACCCCCTGAGCAGGGAAAGCCACGGGAAAGCACTGCTAAGGGAGAGGGTCAAAGTACACACTCCAGGGATCATCGCTAAAATCATTAGCCCTCCCCACCAGTTGTTTTCTGATGGCCTCACAGAAGTCAGTCCCCTCTATCGCTCCATTTTCAGAACATCTCTGGGCATAAGATGTCAACACCACAATTTCAGCATAGCTAGTGTCAGGGCCCTGGGCAGGCCAATCCAAGATAGCCCACGATGGCAGATTAAGTATTTTGAATCAAAGTTACTTAAGGAACCGCCTGTATAAGAAGAAAACCCTAACCTCTTTGTCCCCGTGTGATAGGCACCCTCCTAGCTCCACAGGGCTGAGACAATCTATCACAAGAGTTTAAAAAATTCAGTCAAGATCTAACCGGTTTGGCTCAGTGGATAGAGCATCGGCCTGCAGACTCAGGGTCCCGGGGTTCGATTCCAGTCAAGGGCATGTGCCTTGGTTGCAGGCACATCCCCATTACGGAGTGTGCAGGAGGCAGCTGATCGATGTTTCTCTCTCATTGATGTTTCTAACTCTCTATCCCTCTCCCTTCCTCTCTGTAAAAAGTCAATAAAATATATTTAGAAAAAAAAAATCCAGTCAAAAGCTTGTATTAACAGGCCTTGTATTGCCTTCACTAACTTACTACTCAATTCCAAACTTTGCTTAGATTCCTTTCTAATAAGCACTAACTTGCTTTGTTCTGTCAATTTGTCACATTTGTTTCTTTGGCTACAAGGTATAAAAAGGTGCCTGGTTGGTCCTGGCTGGGTGGCTCAGTTGGAAAAGGTTTCGGGTTCGATTCCCGGTCAGGGTACATACCTAGGTTTCGGGTTCAATCTCCAATCGGAGCATATGGGAGGCAACCGATTCATGTTTCGCTCTCTAAAAATCAATAAAACACATTCTCTGGTGAGAATTTTTTTTTAAAGGTGCCCGATTGGATAACTTCGAGCCTCATTTTATGATCTGATCATATTGTTATTCTCCTATGTGTACCTATTAAATTGTTTTTTTTCTCCTGTTAATTTAGTCTTGTGTCAATTTTATTATTTTATTATGAGTCCAGCCCTGGAACTAAAGAAGGGGGGCGGCGGGCTCCTCCCCCTCCCTGACACAAGTCATACTCCTCCCATTTATCCCAGGAAGTAAAATAAAAACCTTTTTATTTACATCTAGGCTAATTAAATGTAATAGTATAGTATCATTAGGGGCCTTATCACAATCTTACTATCTTATTTTTATTACCGTTTCTGGAGTCTCAGACAAATTTAGGATACTAAACATGCAACTTCAGAAATATAGGGCCCAATGCACAAACCCTGATGAGTTTAACAATTCGTTCCATTCTGAGCCTCATGTTCAAATCTGCTATCAGCCTCTAATTTGTGTTTTCTTAAAGTGTATTTGCAGACACTTGTATCAGATCCCCAGAGATGTTTT